ATACAATATTTCGATATTTTTCAAGTAATAACACTCACCTGTAAATGAAATGAATCTTTTTTCTCTTTATCTACTTTCTCAATTCCCCTGAATATCGTATAATAGTTATTTTCCTATTTTTCTTTTTAAATTCATGTAACGCGTCCAGAGGAGAAGATGAAAGCTGAAAAAAGTTGTAATAAAAACAAGCTTTCTTTTTGTCATTTTTTTTCTTTTTTCTATGTATCTTTGCCTGTTAACCCTGTGTGGAACAATAAACTTATATGCAAAAAAAAAAAAAAAAAAAAAAAAAAATTCAGTTTAGTGCATATTTTAAAATAAACAAAAACACAATCTAAGAAAGACATATTTTTGTTTTTCATTTAGTAATCCTCATATGACTTCATTTTGATCATCAAAAAAAGATTGATCTCAATCTCAATAGGACTTGTATCTAATAATGATACACCTAAAAATCAATTTCAATGGAATCATCTTTCATGATAGATGTATTGTTTTGATTTGTTTAAGTATTTTGGGTCATAAAACTACATTAGAGTTTGTTTTTGTTTGCTTGCTCTTAAGGTCCTTCTTTGTTCATGTCTCTTTTTTTTTGCAGAAGCATTGCCATGATGATAATGTTCTTCACTTACTTTTGATTAAAAAAAGACAGCATTCCTTTCTTCAACACCACCATCGACACCGGTTTTAGAAAGATGTGGTTGTAGATAGGTATCAATGTTACCGAAGACAAGACTCACACCCACGTCCTGTTCCTCTAAAGTGCTATTTTTCTGCAATATAAGGTATTATAAGCTTACACTTTTATGATGATGATACCTCCACTTTGTATACAGTGTCTAGATAAAGTCATTTGACAAACTGAATTAGAAAATTTTGTAGCTGTCTTTGAATCCTGAAAATCTCATTGTTACTGTTGAATCTCATTATAATTTATGCGATTGTCTTTGAAATAAACTGGTTGCTGATTGAAAGTAAATAATTCCGATAAACCTTCATGAAAATAATTATACGAAGATCTACTTGCTGAAAGAAAGATTACTCTTCATTCATGAGTGATGTTTTATGATAATTCCATAATATTTAAGTATGAAATGTTTTACCTATACTTAGAAAGTAACTCATTAAAATCTTCTAGTATTCAAAATTATTTTTTTAGAGGCCATGATATATTTCATGCAGTGATACTTTATATCCATACCTACTCTCGCTTAGGAGTTCATCACTTTCTTTTTTATTCATTTCTGAATAATTGTCAACTTTATCGAATTGATGCATACACGTCGATTAAAATATAAAGTCTGTTGATGATGTTCAGCTATAAATGCAAGTTTATCAACTTTGTCGTCATCAACATAGGCTCAAAACAAAATATAATTGCCAGAGATCAACAATTTCTCTTTGGCAAGTTCAAGTTTCTGATTTAACTTTGTTCTATTTGGGTGTGGGTGTGAGTGTGTGGGTGGGTGTGGGTGTGAGTGTGGGTGTGGGGTGTGGGTGTGGAGGTGTCACTACTTTGCTTAATCACTCCCACATCCACACTCACACCCACACCCACACCCACACACCCACCCACACCCACACCCACCCTTACCGAATGCTGTATCCAGCAATCGCGAACAAACGCGTACTAGATAATACATGTATCGCCAAAAAGGCGAAAGCGGTATAGTCATTCTTTCTGTATATTAACGGAAATGGATCTCTTCTGACAGCTGCTCAAAAACTATAACTCACAAATCACATAACCAAACAACACATCGTATCTGCACAAGAACTCAGTGAGTATCATACATAGAACATTCGCAAACTCCATACAGATCCTTCAAGTGGACTAAAACATGACATTAAAATAACCGCAAAAAGTCGGCAAAATTCACTGCGACAATGTTTTTATTCAACTTCATGTTACTGATCGGATCCCCGAATTCTTGATCGCGTTAAGGCGCCAGGAGAAGATCCAAACATGTACCTATCAATCGACAGAGCGTGCCCAAGGACCGTAGGATTGGCTCGAACATGACTAGTGCATGTGTTTATAATAGGGAACAAAAGTCCTCCTAAAATATAATTGATCCTTTCTATCGGTGAATCAAAATCCAGGATTGTAGTTTTCGATGTAGGGCCACGACGGAATCCACACATATAGGCATCATTCGAAAGACTGTCCCCAAGAATCCTACAATTCACGCAAACATGACCAATGCATCCGCTTATAGTTAGGCTCCTAAGTCAATCATGCTTGGTTGTAAATAGCCATACATTTACCAAGGATGGCGGATAACGACAGCTGTGTGTGTCAGCCATATACAAAAATCATGAACAGCTAGCGTATCAATACAGGGACTGTATACGATAATCATATGAAACATTGTAAGGCATCGTATACGTAAACCGTTCGTTGCAGCAGTTTACGACAATTGAAAACGCTGCTTTACGATGAATTGCGATCATCGGTTACAATGACCGCAAAAATCGCCCTTAACAGCCATCTTAACAATATGGCAAGTGTAGATGCTGATTGGATAATATCGTGAGATATAGTATGCGTCAACTGTGACTAGTCTGATAGGAAATCGCTATTCTGTATCATGTTTTGAAGCAAAAAATGGTGAACGTTGACGAACTACACTTATTTCAAAGAAATAACTTTCCCACATGACCAAAAACACAGGCAGCCAGCTAACAAGAGTTGCATTTACACTCAGTGGAAATAGAATTGCAAGTTCTATATTCTCCTATAAGCAATACATTCAAAAAAAGTAAAATTTCGCAATCACCTTATCTTTGATATTTTAGTCGATACCCTGTACGATCTCGACACAATCCACAATCCACAAAACATAGAAACAATCTCAAAACCTACCAATACTATAGGCACATATCCGTGGTGTGGGTGTAACTAAAGATAATGCTCACATCCACGTCCACACTCACACCCACACACCCACACCCACCAACACACACACCCACATCCACACCCACACCCCACACCCACACCCACACCCCACACCCACACCCTATTCAAATGATAAGATCAATTTAAAATACTGAAATATATAAATTTTTATTGTTTCTTCAAAAGAATCCTTTTTTTTTTTTTTACAAAATCATTACGCATAAAGATCAATATTGAAATTTAAAACCTTCGTGTGATAGAATGTTGACACCGTTCTTTTCGGATGATGTCGAATCTTGAAGTGTTTCATTTAGTAGTGATGCTCCATCTAATAACCATTGTCTTATAATTTGTTTATCTTCTCCATCTCGATTGAAGATATGTTCGAGAGGACCTGCTCGAGCCAATGCTCTCATTAGTGGACATGTATCAACATTCTCTTCCGTTAGTTTATGCCCATCCTCAATTATTGATCAACTTTTCAATAGTAATTTTTAAAAAAATTGAAATGAGTAACTTACAAAAGGAATCGTCCATTGACTAGCCCGAAAAGCAGCTAACAATTCAGACGGTTTGCCTTCGATCAGTTGACGTAAAGAATGCGATGATCCATCGGGTAATTGAAGTATTAGATCCTTTATTATTTTATTTGAAAATTTTCGACGTTGAAGAATAAGTGAAAGCATGTCATTGAGTGTAGAAGGTTTCAAAGAAAGAATCCATCGAGAAATAATTGTTAATTCATCCGAGTCAAATACCTCGATTAATTAAAAAAAAAACAATGAGAGAAATTTATTTACTTTTTTCTTTACTTGATACATTGGCCCTTGAAAACTGACAGCATGATTGATGAGTGGACTAGCACCTGGATCACCTTTGACAATCAATTCTGATTGAGCAAGTTGATCACATAATTTTTCTGCATCACCAGATGCAAACATATCGTTAAGAAAAAGGCCTTCAGGACCAACACGTCGTGATCCATGCATTTTTTGTGCTGTTGGAGCCTTTTTCTTTATCAACTCGATAAATTCTTCTCGTGGTGTTAATACTTTTTGTTTTTCATATAATTCTCGAAGTGCATTATCTATATTACCTGTCATTCCATAGGCCACATATCTATTCATAATTAAAATATTTTTCGAATTTAAATACAAAAGAGCTTTGACAGAAAACAAACTGGAAAAAAGTCTTTTAATTTATATAGTTCTTCCATTTTTTTTTCATTGAATTTAGTCGAGACTTATTCAATGAGAGATAAAAATTTCTATAATAGAAGCGAATCAAAGTGGGAAGCTTTCGCGTCACAACATGAACATGTGGCTTTTTTGCACGTGAACAGTTTTTATTCGCTTTGAAATGATTATATAATAATCAGGAAATCATTTTTGAAGGAAAAAAAAACTTTTTCACGAAAGAAGAATTTTTATCAGAATTACGTGAGGGAGAGTGTTGGGGATTGAATAACAGTATTTGTATAAATACTTTGAAATGCGACTTTTATGCTCAGAAACGGGTTTCTTTTGGACAAAAATAATCGAATATCATTCAGAAAAATACATCTATAAATTAAAACGTTTTGCATAATATAGGTGAGGACTTCAATTCATAGTTTTCGGAAAAATTGCATCAGAATCTCACACGAACTGTGATCGATATAACGAGATTTTTTCCATTAGGCTTAAATTGCTTTCATTCCCATTTCACATTTTAATCCCGCAGGAATTATGCTGAAAACTTTTTTAACATTAGATCTATCGCTTGAGAAAACTTTTATGATATTACTTGCTTTTGAAATACTATTTGATATTATCGGATGAATTAATTTTCTCTATTTATGTAATTTTATGGGCTTAAGACTTCGCATGTGGTATTCTGAGTCTCTATAAAACTTTGAGACTTGTGCTTTTTAGAAAATGATAGATTATATAAATAGATGAATTGATAAAAGAGAATTACCCAGTCCAAATTCGTTTCCAATGTTCTTCAACAGCTTGATCACCTTGCGTTTCTCTGATTTGATCAAGATAAAGTTCAACCGCTTCTCTTGCATAGCGACCATGTCCATTAACATTATTGTCGATTGCTGTATGAAGAAGAGAAAAATTGGAATTCAAATCATATCGATCAAGAATTTTCCGAAGACCAGCATGTTCAGCTGGTGCTGTTGTTTCTAACCACTATAAGTGTTTAAAAAGAAAACAAAATCAAATTAAAAATGAATAGAAAGAAAATATTTATTCCATCAGTCTACTAACTAAAGTATATCCAAGAATTTCGGGTTCAAAAGTCTTCGGAAAGAGTGAAGTTGTAAGAGTAAGAAGTGGTTTTTTAAAAGATATTTCAAGAATTAATTCTTGATCAACAAATTCTCGAGAATAAATTGGTGGAACTTGCAAACCAAGACTTTCAAGAATATCCAAATAAACATTACAATGATTTTGTGATGGATTTCCATTACCCAATTCATCAATATAAATAGCAAATAATTTTGCTTGAATAGATGACATTGGTCCTTGATTAACACCACGAAGCCAAACTCCATCTGTTAAATGATATGGTTGACGTTGAATTAAATAAGTTGTTAAATGAAGTTTTGTTTGAGCCCACCAATATCGAGAATCACTTGTTGCTGGTTGACCGGCCTCGTACCCTTAATAAATATTCATTCGAATTTTTTTTTCTTTAATTTGATGTCAATGACAAAATACACTTACAATCAAGATATTTTTCTTTAAAGAGGCGATTAAAAATATAATCTAATCGTTTATTGACTTTGTCTTTATCATAAGGAATATACGTAAAATGATCAGGAAAATCAGGATTATCTGGATGATCTTCCATCATATATTGAGCTGCTTCAGCATGCATACGTTCACTGAACTCTAAAACAATGAAAAATCATTTTTGACCGTAATCCAATCAAGATAAAAAGGAATCTCTGTTCGTCATGAAGATGATCAATTGAAAAGAATAGAAGAATAGGATTTGTAAAAATTAAAATTTTCTTGATTAATCAATATGAATTTTTGTTGACTAACCTTTGGCAAGAGGTAATTTATCCACATGAAATTCGGGATTGATAAAGAAATGGAAAAGATCACGATAAGAATAATCATCGATTGTTTTGTTATTTTGATCTTTTGCACTTTTTATTTGTTGATTCTTCCTCTTTTGATAAATAATCGCAGCAATAACAGCAACTACACAACAACTTCCGACTATTTTCAAATATGTTAATGGCCATTTGAACCAATCGATTAAATCTTTGAATGATGATGAACCATCAGATATATTCGAAGACATAATATTTGAAATATTCCTTTATCTTGTTTCAAGTAATTCTAAATTGCATGTATCTACTGCTTGACGTCTCTTTTTTTTATACTGGAAGAAAAAGGCTATCAAGGACAAAATAAGAGGCATATGATAAGAGCAATCTTCCATGCTTACGTAAGATTATATCAACAAGGGCAGTATTCATTCACTATTGTACTCTGTGACTATTGAGATAATCATCGACATCGATAGTGTTGAGAAAACGAACTCAACTTCATAATAATGAAAATTATTGAAGATACGATCGAGTAAAGGACTGCTACGAAATACATTAGAAATTTTTCCAAATTCAATAGTTTATTTATTGATTCGAGCTTTCGATGAGAACTCTTGTCATCATCAGGAAATAATGGTAGGAAAGAGAAAGTTATACAAGTATATATAAGTACAAGGAACAGAACGAAAACAAAGAACCACCAATGATTTTACAAGTATATATATTCGCGAATATGTTCGTAGAACAGTTGCTGTGGCCGATAAAAGTGTCCTTTTCAGGACTTGAGTGTTGTTGTTTGTTAGATTGTGTAGATATTGAGTTGTGATGGGTTATGTAGAAATTGATTTATGAATGAATGTAGTAGGAATTAAGTTGTGACAGGTTCAATTAAGTGTTTTTTGTTTTTTTTTATGCGTATATTTTTAATTTGTGTTTTACATCATTCAGTGCTTTTCCAAAACTATAGTGTGTGAATAGACTCTCTTTTATTATTCTACGTCTCCAGTTTGTTTCAAGAGATAGTACTTTCACATTATTAAAGTCAAATGAATGTTGTTTTTCATTTACGTGTTGAACTATATTTGATTTTTGGCGTATATTACGTATATCATCTTGATGTTCTTTCATTCTAGTTTTTAATTCCTGATTAGTTTCTCCATAATAACTATATTCACAATTATTACATGGTATTTTGTATATTAATTTTTTATTACGTTTATCTTCATCTATACCTTTTTGTATAGGTAAAAAGATGTTTTTTAACATATCTGTTTTTTTAAATGATATGTTGATGTCCATAATAGGTAGAAATTTTTTACAAATTTTCTTTATCTTTTCTGCTAGAATTATTGATTCATTACTAGAGTACGGTAATGTTAAGAATAGTTTTTTCTTATTAGTTAGTGTTTGTGTAGTATTATTATTATTATTTTTGTTTTGTTGGTTATTAATTATTTTCTTAGTTATTATTTTTCCTTCAATGATACCTCTTCGTATTATGTGACTTGGATATCCATTGTCACGTAACGCTGAATGTAATTGTTCTAGTTCTTGATCAAGATAGTTTTTAGAAGAGCATATTAATAATATGCGTATAGTGAGAGATCTTATGAGGCTTAATTTATACTTTCTACATTGATTACTTTCGTAGAGTAAGTATAGATTTGTGTTTGTTGGTTTTTTTGTAAATAGTTGTATCGTATTTGTTAGTGTTTAGATTTCTGATTAGGGTGTGGGTGTGGGTGTGGTGTGGGTGTGTGGTGTGGGTGTGTGGGGTGTGGGTGTGGGTGTGGGTGTGGGTGTTGATATTCTCTTCATCAAAACCCACGCTCACACGCACACCCAGCACCTACACCCACACTCCACACCCACACCCATACCTACACTCCACACCCACATGCACACGCACACGCACACCCACACGCACCCGCCCACGCACACCCACACCCA